CAGTGGAGAAAGTTGGTTGTATGTCCTCACTCTGCCTGAGGTGTTTAAATATAGGACTTTTAGGATGTTAATAAAGTTCTCAGGCACATCCTTCTTCATTTGACTATCCCAGAGAACAGTCCTGTCCAACGGATCTAAGGCAACCTTGATGTAAAAAAATATTACGATTGTTGGCCTTTGATAAGTATGACGGTGTTTTACCATTTGACGGAGGGTGAAGATATAGTCAATACATCCTCGAATGGAACGAAAACCAGCCTGCTACTCGCAAAGTAAGACTTCTGAACCCGGTGATTTCCAATGCATGAAGAGCCGAAGTTTCTTGCGGACTTCCGTCTCGTTAGCTGGCTCAGTCATCACAGGCCATGGAGGGTAGGACAGTCTGACCAATACTGCAAAGGCAGCAGACAAGTTGAACTGTGCTTCGAAAAACTCATCCTATTGCTCAAGACGTCGATAGATGTTAATAACTGGTATCCCGTCATATATACAGATTGTCTCGCTCATATCAAACTTCTTGGTGCCAAAGGCTCGGATGATTTGAAAAAGCTCCCAGCAGTTACCAGATACAGCCACTGCTTTCAACTCATTGGCACGCTCCGACCACCAGGCTTCTTGGTCCTTATGCAGGTTTTGCCCAATTTCATTACGCAATAGTCGTCATTTGTGGTCAGATTCGCGGTCACATGAAGCAGATCAGAGGACTTCACTAAGTTGTAAGGGGCCTGAAGAGACCCAGTGCTTATAATCGGGACGTTTCGCGAAGCCACAAGTAAATTTACTCACCGTTTTCGTGGCGCCATGCAATTACAACTAATTCCCACCTATAATTTTCTGTGGGGTGGTAGCTAGCCTTAAACCTAGCTCGGTCTGATATTTATTTGCAACACAAGCTGCAACGAATTTACTGACAACGATCCGTTGAAGACAATTAATCTTTCGGCAATTGAAACTCAAAGCGAGATTAGCGCAAACAAGAGCATGATCAGAGTCCCAGAGAGGGAGAGTGAACTCTCCCCACTCTCGGCCGTACCAGGGCATTTGGGGGCATACTGATATTTGGTTATGCTTTTCACTTAATTGTGACTTTCATAGCATCACTCCAAACTATGACTGCACAACCACTTATTCTAGCGTCATATCTTACTGCAATAATAAGTTATTTCTTCTTAATTGTTTTCTATTTTATTTTTGTTACTAATTCGACAACACATACATAGTCGTATATTCTTGTCCTGTGTTCATAAACACGTCTATTAAACTATTTGCGTATTTCACGTCTCCTTTATTTCTATTCCCTTATTTTCTTCCTTTCCTTCTTTAAACTCAATCCAATATTCTTCACAATTACACAGAGCCTGATTTATTATTGTTCTATTACTATTATTCTCCTTTTCAAATATGGCAAATATAATGCTAACATTATTGAAACTTGTGTATTATTGCATTTTTGAAGAAACCCGAAATGGTTTCTTCGCAACACTTATGTACCCATAAGATGTTTGTGAATAATAATAATAATAATAATAATAATAATAATAATAGAGACCTTGAATGACATGGCTCAAAATCGTTTGCAATGGCGCAGGTGCAGCTACTCTTTGCATTCTCCCAAATTCTAATCTTCTGAATTCTTCATGCCCCTTTTTTTCTCTTGCCAAATTTATTTCACTGGATTATACTTCTCGACTAACATCTTCAAACCCTAATCTTTCTGATTACTGCTTATACTTTTACTATCTCTACCACTACGGAATTTGAATCGACAATTGTATCTCTGTGATAATGTAGTATGGGAACTCGAACTGATGTACGTACGTACGAAGTTGTACAATGTTACTAACTGACTGACTGGCTGCAATAGACGGTCCCTGTTATCTGACCAGCGACCAACAAGTTCCAATTGGCCACCTAAAGGACTCTCTTCTAAGCCTAGACGCCTGACCTGAGCATTCACGTCTCTGGCTACTACTATAATATCTATCGAGGCCACTTTCTGTAGAAGGACTGTTAACCGATGGCGAAACTCATCCTTGATCGCGTCAGGGCTGCAATCTGTCGGTGCCTAGGTGGAGATGGCGAAAAGACATCGTTTCTCACACCGATTTCTACTTACTTTGGTGGAACTTTCTAATCTAACAGCACATAGCCGATCGATCAGTGCTACCTCAGCTCTAGCGCCTCTGCTATACCAACGCCAGCAAAACCAGCCGAAGATGATACAGGGTTCAGCGAATTTGTAGTACTTCACTGAGGTCTTGAATGCGTATGTCGGATAGACAGCAGACGTCGGTATTAGGACTTTCTAAAGACATAACCGGCCCTATCTTTTGTCTGATCTGCATTAGTGTGAGAACGTTGAAGGAACCCAGAAAGACTGTTTCAGTATTCGTATTCGGTGGAAGCATTTGGTCAATGACTCGAGATCGTTTAGATAGGACAGGTTTTCTACAATAGATGAGCTGCTCTATAATTTGGAAAACAAGAATACACAGGGTGAGAATAGAAGAGAGTAGATAAATGATGTAATATATCAACAAAGAAAATCAGTGTTACCAAATGGATGTGAATTTTCTGAATTTTAATTGAAGCGAGAACAGTGTTCTCAGTAATTATTGTCACATCATTTTATGTGTGTGATACTGTGTGGGCGCCCAGACGAAGCAGGTAGTTCACTTAGGGGCTGTTTTAAAAGTGAACTGTGTGCAGAAGTGATACTTAAGAGCTCTAATTTTACCGTGACCCTAACTTAATTTTTTCATACACGGTAAGTTCGTCCGTAATTCCTTCAAATGGTTTTACTCTTATATTCTTTGTAGCTATCACCTTCGTTTTCTAAATTCATTCTTTACCTTTCTCCTACTCGTCGAATGGACAGTGGTCCTACATGCAACTGGTTTCGTTTTAATACTTTCCATTAACTTCTCAGTTGACACGCAACCATCTTGACTGAAGGAGTTGCATAAAGCCGTTGTTTCTTAGTAGGCTATTTTATTTTTTAATTACGACTGACCTAAATAAATGATATGACCGGAAAGAGGATTTTCTTTTCTGAACTGTCTTTAATTCCTTTAATTAATGCATTTACGTAGGGTACTTCTAACTATCATTTTAATGCTATTAGTATGGGTAGGTGCGCCAAACTGGAATTAGTTGGCATGCATGCCAATAGTAACGTCAATCATGATTGAAGTTATTAAACGTAATATTCCTTCGAAGGGATTTAAGATCAATTTGAGTTAACACAGACAAAATCATCATGGTCGGACCCTGTATAATAGAACCCGATAATGTAGAATATTTGTAAGCACAGTAACGAATTCGTCTCCCCACCTTGTCATTATCACCCATTATACAATGTCGGTACCATATGGCTTAAGTCCCTCCTTAATGGGTTCACGGTAATTGTCCGCAAAATTCCCTACCTCATACTTGCAACTTGAAATTCCGCACCGCTAATGTTTGAGCAAACCCAGGCCTTTGCGCCAGGCAACTTTTATCTGGAACCACAAAGGCTAAGTTATTATTAGTACAACCCGTTTCAAATGTTTCACAACAAAGAACGGCGATTGCCGGCGCCTCAAGTCGGATTATTTGATTTCGTCTGTTTTCGTAGGCATTTCAGCACTAGTTTAGTCATTCTAATATAGAAATGGAGACCACTCCCCGTAAGCATAAGCCACGCGCAAGTCCTATTTGGTCGCCACAGTGAATTTTAATCCAACCGTTGATGTTAACTGGGATAAGGAACAAGTTCGCGTTTCACTGCTAATTTTTAGGTTCATCTTTCAAGTTCTAACTCGAAGTGAGAAGTTCTGAACTACGAGTTAACGCTAGTGAGAATCAACGTTGTGGTAGCAGACTGTTATTATGACTTTAACACCACATGAATTTTAGCCAAACTAATAACGGATTTTATTCTTCAAATAAAGGAAATTTCGTCACAAGGTGACTATGACCCACTTCAGTGAACCAGTGACGAATCGGCTTATGCTGTCCTCGGTCATAGTTCACATGGCAGACACATACCAATCTGTCGAAACTAGCACAAGTTGGGTATGTAATGGTAACAAGTGAAAACCTGCAATTTATATCATGGACTGATCTCATGCATGAATACGAAACTCGAAGCAATAAACGGTCCCGTCGGGTCCAACAAACAGCATTTCCAAAGTAGCTATGGGCTACTTGTTACAAGAGCACATAAAATTAGAATATGGATAGATGCTGGGATGTTAATACTGGTGTCTCCGTAATGGCTGTATATCTTGGAGTAGCTGAATTGTTTACTAATCTTGCCACGTTCAATAACAATGGCGTTGTTTATTGTGACGAATATGAGATAACTGAGTTCACACTTTCCTAAGATAAAGAAAATATGAATATTAAGTGTGCGCTTTCATTTTCGGATTTCTTTCATATAGCCTAAGACTAACAATGAAGTATCCGGGTGACTGTTATCAAGGTGACAATATGCAGTCTTAATGACATATTTTATACACCAGAAATACGTATCCCAACGTTGAGTCACTAAGCAGTCGATAACATCAAAATACTATATACTAAGAAATTGGTACACGCAATACTTAGATAAGTTTCGTACTGTCCTAGTACAACTTACACCGGAAATGCCATCTGCTTGTTCTTATCGTTATCGAGTCGATAAGCTTCGTACAGCTAAACCTAAAATAACAAGTATCCCAACCAATAGAGTTAAACTGAGTCGTCGCGACATATCAACATACATATATATTTATAGTTCTGACTATCTTGATTAATATTACCTCATAAAGAAATGAAGCAAAACGATGACCTTCAATTGCAGAAACGTTTAGTCGGCCTGACGTTATTATGGGCAAAGATCAGTAATCGATAGTACGGCAAACTAATCACTGAGACTGAGTTCTAAAAATAAAATTGGGCGTTTAGGAAATATAATTTACACTACTAAAAACAAAATATTAAGACAGATAATAGGACTTCAAAATTAACATAAAAAGTTATTTGTCATTTGTAGATGGTGGTCGACTATTAGAACCTCCAGAGGCACCAACGCTAGTTGAATTATCCGAAGGAACATTTGCCACAGTTTGATCCGGTTTTGTTGATATTTGGGGAATAGGATAAGAAGCACCCGTACTACATTGAGGTGACTGGTGGTGTGTATGTTGCTGTGATTGTGGATAGGCCGGAACTTGGGAAGGACCAGAATTAGAATAACCAGACCAAGAATGACCACTGTGTTGATGAGGCGTGTAATGTTGTGATGGTACAGAATAAAAACCACTCGGCCCCACATTACTACCATGGGTATATGGTGGTACAGGACAACCTAGGAAGAAATCAGCGTTAACAACTGTGAGATTCAGCAAAAGATTTGTCAAAGGTTAAGCAATCAGTCGCTCACCATATCCCAACAAATGAGCCACAGATTTCTACCCAACTGATAACTGGAAATTGATTCTTTTAATTCAGACCGTAAATACTCCATCAATAATTAAGCAGTACGGTTTAGTCTAGTTATGACTCGGACTACTTTATTGGTCATCAGTGTTTAATTAGAAAACTCGAAATCAATGGGAAATGTTGGAATAGATTTAAGTTAGACTGGTTTTAGCTGGAGAATTCGAGTCAAAAACCACTGAACAGGAGTTTTGGCACAATAGTCCGCATTGTGTTTGATTACGGATCAAACCTAGGACTTTTGGACCTCGCAAAGAACCTATTAACGTCATGAGAATAAGTCCAAAGTCTTAATCTCAATTTACGGGTGGTGAAATGTGACGACTACTCAATATTACTAGTTGCCTTACCTTCGATATATTTGAACTTCAACAGGAGTGATTTCTCACTAGAAATGAGGAGAATTTAGAAAAACATACGTAAGCGAACAATATTGTTTCCGACTAGATCCTCATCAGACTTTACTCGAATATACAGTAATATTTATGTGAATATACGAAATTATTAAACCAATCAAGGCAGTTTATCAGTCAATGATAACAGTGGAACAGATTACATAATAAGTGAAAATTACAAGTTGGTAGTGTGATGACAGGTGCACTAGTTGTCATAAGAATAATAAAAGGCTTGAATCAATGTCAAATAATGGGAAATAGGTCGTATATGCGTATAAATAATACTGTATATTAGAGTAAAGCCTGGTGAGGATCTAATCGAAAACAATACTGTTCGTTTATATATGTTGTCCTAAATCACAATATGGGAATTTTTTCAAATTATGAGAATTATCTTAATATTAAGCACTAATGAGGACGAGACTGTTGCTTAGGTAGTTGATTGCGGAGATTAGCCCAGTATTTCTCCATGTAAGGTCAGTTCGCAAAGAGAAGTATCTCAAAGCTGAACTTCTTTTCGCAATCAGCTAAGGTGAGAACTTGGCGTAGTAGATTACTTACACTTCAATATGAGTGCTAATTTCAATATAAAAAATCTACTACCAATGATAACTGATTAAGGGTAATTTTTAACTTGGTAGATAAAACTTACGACAAAAACATGACTATGTCAAATACATCTTGTTATCAATTACAGGTAAAACGGGACTAAAATGATAAAAAAATGTATGGACAGATTTCATCTTTGATGAGTATAATCTAATACCTGTTTCATAATAAAATAAAAATTGAAAGATGTACTGAACTTTTAGATAAGTTTTGCGTTGCACATTTTTAGCATGTACTTTATACATCGTTATATCAATTCTTGGAGCTACAGACGCTAAGTTAGTTTACAAATATAATCCTTCTGTGTATCTTAAACATCTAAGATCTAGATTATAACAGTTAGTAACTACTCATGCTTTCGAGCAGTCTCATTATTGAGTACGAATAATACTCACTAGTTCTGTAAGGGGGTGTCATGTATGGCTTACAGCGAAAAAGTGTGAAACTTGTATCAGCATGCTGCGTATAATTTTTATAAGTGGCTTTATAACTTTAGCTATGGTAGACGTTGAATTAGAAAGTAATCTGTGGCTTGGAAAGCTCTCTATCTGATACTGAAACCAGTGTCTATGTATAGGCAACCTACGATTTAATTTATAATGGTTTCAAGACAGTGAAATAATTCAGCCTATTTTACTGAACTGTATAAACACATAGGAAAAACGTCTACCTTGATAATAAATATTGGCTCCTTGAGACTGGTTAGATACCATCTGACCCATACCAACGTCTGCAGAGGACACCGACATAGTAGAGCACGGATGGACGTTATCAACAGATGACAGAGTTTGTTGATTTGGAACGACTGGCTCAGTCTGAGATCCAGGCATGTAGTGAGATGGATGTTGACTCTGAACATAGTCTGGAGGTACTTGTTGTTGTGTAGGCCAATAACTGACGACAGAATTTGGCTGTTGCTGTTGTTGATACGGTGGTGGTGCCGGAATTGGCTGAGAAGCAGCAGGACTGTCCTGGATAGAAACAGGTACTGATGAAATATTTTGGTGTGGATGAGTTTGAGGGCCGTGTTGACCAACAAGATAGTGAGGCATTGAATAACCGCTGGAATTGGGACCGAAATTTCTCGGAGTCTGCATTGGGTATCCCACTGAGCCACCTACGACTGGGTAACGGGGAGGACCATAATGTGGTGAATACGGTGGTGGGCCACCATGATGCCAGTTATTTGAGTTATGTTGCTGGGGTGGAATATGACTTGAAGCATGTTGAGTGGGACCTACCATCGGTGGGACGAGCTGAGGAACATGAGACTGTTGTGGCATGTGCTGAATATACATTGGTGGGGGAGGTGGATGCTCCGCAGATGGTTGTGGTGGAACTGGATGATACTGAACGGAATTGTAAGGAGTGTGTTGTGAAAACTGAGGGCGAGGATGAGAGTAGCCCACAGGATTAGAAACGGAGACAGGTTGATGATAATAACTGCCAGCAGACAAAGTGGGGTTCGACGGATTCCCAATGCCAATTTCGTAGCAGTAGGGTGTCTGCACCGGACCCCCCGAAATTTGCGCTGGAACAACGGGGTTAGCAAGAGCTGGGGCTTGTTGATATTGAGAAGTAATGAGTTGCCTTGATTGGGTTGTGGACCCTTGCTGAAATTCGTTGGACTGTCCAGGAGTCATATCAAAGTCACCAGGTTTAGTCTGATCGACTACTCCTTCGCCAGACCGAGAGATAGGTCGTTCTCGCATATCCTGACTAGTTGTGGTTACAACAGCATCTTTAACAAGGTCAGAATCAACCTTTTTCTTTTTTGACGACGTTGACGAAGCAGAAGAGGCCGATGAAGTAGAAGATGCAGATGAAGGAACTTTTTTGGTACGGCCTAAAGATACTGCATTTGGTTTACCTGTGTTATTTTGTGCTGCTTGTTGTATATTTGGGACCGGACTACGCTGATGAATTAAAACGGGTGGATTTGCCGGTGTCGCGGCGTTGGGCACATAATGTAATGGGGGTGGATAGTGGTGCTGGGTATGACCGGACTGAGGAAACCTTTGCGATGAACTTTGAGTAACTGGTTGTGTGAATGTATTTCCGATTCCAGCATACAAACCTGGGTTGATTTCATGTCCAATTTCTGAAGCTGCCTTCGGATGATTTGCAGGACACAATAAATTGGCTGAAGCAGAAGGCAACTTTTGTGGGGGTTGTGAACTCGTATCTTCTCTTTTGTCCTAATAAAAACAGTTCACAGCCGATATATATACAAAACATTGACGTATATCATTATATCCAAAAAAGTGTTAAAATAATATTTATCAAGAAATTTATCTTTCAAGTGTAGCTACAGAACACTGATTGGACAAAACAACAAGATGTACTGAGCAGAACAACCGATGAACACGATATAAACAGAAAACAAAGACGATTTTATAAACATTCAGTCCGAGTCACTGGTACTGTAATAAGTCAATATATTATTTGTTTTAAAAACCTAAGAGGACCAATTAACTGACAATAAGGATGCATATAAAACACAAGCAAAGACTAAATAAAGGTGTGCACATGAAGTTTTGAACGATCTACAATAAAATATATTCAGTATCACTAAAAATTACCACCATTAATGTGTCTCAAGTAAGTCGATCAAATTAATACATAAACGAGAGAAGCAATTCGTGTTGGGGAATACTAGTCACTCGAATCAAATAATGAGAATCTCGAAAATTGAATTTAGTGTATGATACCATGTCCCCAAATGCCCTGGTACGGCCGAGAGTAGGGAGAGTCCACTCGCCCTCTCGAAATGCTCTCACACGGCCGCGCGTATACAGCCTCTGCCAGGGAAATCCTACTCATTGCCTTCTCGTGGCGGGGATGTTATTTACGAAATTGAGAGGACGAAAAGCGAATGTCCGGCGATTTGACCGGGTTGGTGGACATGGAGAGTCCACCTAGTGAAGTTGGAAAACCATGATTCTAAACCAATGGTGCACATAGGCTCCAGTACCCTGAGGGAACAAATGGCGTATGAACCAATTATTGGTCACCAGCTTCCATGGGACTGCATCTCCTTACGATGCTCCACTGCCTCGTTGATCAGACCTTCAGGTCGAAGGCTCCGGGTGTAGCCCTCTAGGAAAACCACCTGCCTCGGTTTGGTCACCCGGGCAGAATCACATCTCTCACACATATCGAATGAGATCTGTGTGGCGCATATGTATTTGGTGCCTCCTTGTACCAATATCTATGTGTTAAAATAAAATAAATAGATTGTTTACTGATCCCATTGTAGTGCACATGAAACAAGACTTGCAGATGTAGTAACCACTCCTTAGATTTGTTCAAAAATATCAGGAACCCATCACAAATAGCTCTCAATAGTCAGGTGTTTTTAACGCTGGTAAATTTATTCAAAGTTTGTCGTAGTGCGTTGTCTAGAAGGAAGACGAAAGCTTCACGACTAAACCAACCGACTCAGAGAACGAAACTGGTTTGCTACGTTCGATAACATCCAAATGTCGACTTGTATACCAGACAACACTATAATAGCTGACGGTGGACTTTTTGTTAAAAATGATTCTGGTAACAATTTTTGACGTTTCGACTGTTTGGAAACCCTAGGCCACTGTTCATTAAGCCGTTTGGTCGTTCATGGTGGACCATGCACGAGAAAATGTTAATTCTGCTTTGTACTTCAGGACTATAGAATTATGTGAAATTACATTATTGCTGTTATCATTTTAAGTCATGATTTTGTCCTTTTGCTTTTACAAACAGGTGTTTACATAAACGGTAATAAGTCTACCGAGGACATTAAAGTGGACATAGATGACCAAGCAATAAAACCTTCGCAATTACTGGATGGATCTGGAGTGCCGACCGATTATTACTATGACTTGGAGGGCTGGTGTATGAAATCAATAAACAAATTCCGATCAAACGGTAAACTTCATAGATGGATGAAGCAAAAAGAATTTTGATGAACATTTACCTATGGTTACATAAAAAAGACCAGAAATATCTTCTGGAAGCCAGATGTTATTTTCAAAATGTTTGATAACGGACCGGTTTTTTTATGTCTGGATACCCTAAAACAGCTTTTACTTAACTCGGAAACTAGAGCCAAGTGAACAGTCAACGACAGGTATGTAAATACCCGAGGTGTACGGTAATAACGAAATTAGTTAGGTTGGAAACAATGAAGGTAAAAATTCAGAATGATTTTGATAAAATACCTGTGCTATCAGTCTTTCTAATGAGCGGTCACTAAATTGAATATTCGGGTCATTGTGCGGTGGGGCTGCCTGATTTGGTCTCATATGAACTTGCTGCAACTGTTGTTGATGTAGTAATTGACGTCTGCGTTCAGATTCCAGTAGCTCCGCTTCTCTCTGCTGCCGCTGCTGTTGACGCTTGCGTCTGATTTCTAATTCCGCCAAATAACGAGTCTTACGCTCCTCTTCTTCACGCTGCATATCGTACTTCGCTTTAATTATCATATCGGCAAACTGAGACTCAGTGATAACTGGTCTTGCTGTCGTTATTTTTTGATAGTCTAATCGAAAACGTTCAGATTCTTCACGAATGCGCTGCACTTTGGCTTGATGTCTTGCTTCGCACCCTTCAATCTCTTGACATAAATTGCGCTTGTGGTTTTTCAGTTGCTCTACTTGCAAACGCAGCGTGTTAAGACGGCTTTGGGTGATTAGTTGACCAGGATCAGGGAGTCTCGTATCACTTAAAACTTCTTGCATGAGACGATGGTTTCTCTGGAAACGAGCGGCTGCTACATGCTTCGCAGTGAATTGGTCTTCAGTATCTATGATGAAAAGAAACATTCAAGTAAAAAGTATGTTCGTTATATCTAAATAATCGTAATATTTACAAGGTCTGATCATGCTCACGGACATTGTACACATACAAACTATCGATCATTCATTATCAACGTATAGCCTGGCACAAATTTTATTTTAGACAAACTGCCATGATACAGTAGCACAGAATCAAAAACAGTGCTTGAAGGAGCTAACTTCTGGTCTGAGTCATGTCAGTAGATGCAGAATACTTGGTTGGGGTCGCGTGACTATCGTAACCAATAGTTGGAGACTCTGGATGACATGGTTCAGAATCAATCACAGTGGCGTAGGTGAATACACTTTTTGTCTTCCCTTAAACCGTAAAACTAAAATCGCTTTCTATCTTTCTTTCTACCAACTAATTCTTTCTTCCTGTACTATATCCTTATATGCTATCTTATATTATTACTCCTATGAATCCAGTGTTTATCTTGCCGTGCTAATGAGATATGGCAACTTGGACTGATGCATATATGTGCCTGGTCCTACGTTGTAGCTGACTGACTGAGTAGAAATTACCTTAAGTTGGTGGTACAGCTTGCATATGGTGATGACTCAATCGAGCTGTATTAGTTGCAACGTCCAATCCTTAGGTCCTACCACGTCAGACAGAATGGTTTGAGAGCAGATGAAATAAAAGCAACAAAGTAAAGGTCTGAGGGTGATATCGTACGACTAACCATTTAGGTGTAATGATAATAAGGTGCTTTACTTACACAATCAGTACCTTCAGCGACGCTCTCTTCTCAGTGAAAGAAGAGGGCTACAAAAGTTCCACCCTAAAAACGACACACTATCTTGCCCATTGGTTTTTCACTGACGGCACGAGGTTTGAAACGTACAGATTCAACACATTACATTACTACTAATAGTAATATGTTACCACGTGAAATTGCTTAGTATACTTTGACGCTCATATCCAATAATGTAATTTAAATGTACGATATAAGCAAAGATTACCTTCTTCGTTATCTTCCAGTATATATGACTCCCTCAAATCACCCTGAGGAAGTTCATTCCCACGGTCTCTCGACCTTAAAATTGATTGCCTGCGCCCTTGGTCTTGTTCTTCCATGCTTTTCTCAGCTAAAAAATAATAGTGGAAGTTATTAAAATACAATACCTCTTTCCTTCGCTACCAACCAAGCCTGATAAGCTGGCGAACTATGGTACTGCCGTAGTAATTCCGTGTATTGGGTTTTCTCGGCATCGTACTCTTCGACATATAGTATTTTTTCATCATCAGGGAGCTCACGCCACATTTGCCCAATAATTTTCCCAACCTCCCACAACTTGAGATGTGGATTCGAGTTCTTAACTTGTTCCCAAACTTTTCGGCTGTAGCGCATGTACGGCATTAATGGTTTTTCAGGAGGTTTGGGAGGTTTAGGGACACGCATATCACTCTGAGATACCATTAGATAATAAAGAATAATACCTTAGAATTCATTCTAATGGTCTGGAATGTACTATTATTATGTGGAGATTGAAAGTAATATGACTTAGCTTCCTAAAAATAAAAAAAACGTAAAAACTACCTTGCCATTTTAAAAATAAATACAAAACTATGTACTTTGAGTGAGAACTAGTGGATCTATTATATCCGTTGGATCTGAAACGAACTATGGACCTGCATACAATCACGATACAAGAGGTAATAACGGCTAACACGCTAAGTGGACAGAATGCTTTTGCTACGTTCCTATACAAAGCACCTACTAGACTGAAAGTTTACTCAGCTGTGAAGTTTTAGGGTGCCAAATCAAGAAACGAGTGAATTAGCTTGGCAGGAACAGGTTCTATTTGGGGTCGACCGTTAACAAATACAGCAGTGATCAGTATCAGAACTCCTGTCGTTTTTAGGCTTGTCCCATTACAATGTACAAACCTTTATCCTAGTAAGGTAAATCCTATTGAATTTAGTGACATACAAAATCAAGGAATAACTACGATCAGCCTTGTACCACTAAACGTATGTTACAACAGCTTGCCATATCTATACACGAATATGCCAGCGAATCGACGATCAATGAACGAACTACAACTACTAGAAACAAAGCAGTGGATGGCTGAATCAAGAGAAATGATTTTTCATCCTATCGTAATCGTATAAGTCACTAGAGGCGTCTGTAAAAGATGAAAATCATGATAACAAAGGATTGTTCTCATTTTTTTAATTAGATCATGATTAGGATCGTGGCGACACCCCACAATGTAACAGACTTACGTCCGCTACTTAAGCTATCATAACGCGGAGTTTAGGGGATGCTCGGAAATTAGGGCACAACACAGTAGACTAAACTGGAGGCACACCTCTTCACGAGCAGTAGTGTTAAAGTTTGCTGCCTGACAAGGCAGTCCAAAAAGCTTGCCAGTTCTTTAGGAATAAACTTTATATATACCCAGGGACTTCATATGTCATTTATTTTTCTAGTGTCAAATGTAAATCGCTCCCAGCTTGAAGGAACCGGTGACATAATGCTGCTAAGTACGGAAGTCATCTAATCGAAAGCCCCTCTAGTTCCATCCACAACTGTTTGGATGAGTCTGCACTAAGTGACACACGACGTGATTTATGGTTTGCTCGGTATAATGTAACTGCTACACCTTACAGAGTCAGCTTAATACGATGTGTCTAGCGTTGGAGGTTAAATTGAGGTTAAGTACTACAAAACCGGAATGAAAGTAGCAGTTAATCTACGGACCACATTAGTCACTTACAAAACGCTTCTAGAATAATTCGAGCGACATCACGTACGTAAAGACGATACTGAAAGCAGTGAAATCTGAAACCACAACTTGACTGGTACAGTCGAAATGTCGCAACTCTGAGTCAAAAGCTGGTAACACAACAAAGATTATGCAGCTAATTATTTTCGAGCTGATTTTGAGTGTATATTTGTCATGCTAACATTAATAATAGACATTTATAATACTGTATGTCTAATGGATCTCTGCTGTGGCCAAGAACTTATGATGGAAACCGTCAATGACAAAAAACCAAGTAGTGAGCTTCTATATATATAAAACGATAAGAATGATAGTGTTACAAACGTGTCGACCGAGAATGATATAATACCAAGAGCCTCGGACACGAAAATGAAAGCTATGTACCGCCACAATGAGATGAGAAATAGGTAATTTAAACAAGACATATGACTTTACAATGAACTGAGTGACTCACCCAGGGGATTTTAGATGTCTTCCGACTTGTGAAAAGGTTTATACAGTCACAGAGTGAGACTTAGTCGGTATGACTTTGACAAGTTGGTGTTGGCAGTGTTGAGTTGTGTGCACTGGATAAAATAATTACAATAATTCTGTTATTTCTGCACCTGACATCATTGAAGTTCATTTAAAGTTGAAACTAGCAGCAGAAGAACGAACTAAGTGAAGGATTAGGTAGAAGAGATCAATGGAAAGATCTTGCTTAATGCAAATTTTTGTAGTCAGTATTTAATAGTGTTTTGCATCTGTTCATTTAGATCTACACGGATTCACGTGCGGCGATGTATCGCCCCCCTTAAATCTTTAAAGCGATAACATCTGTGTTAAATCAGCTTCTAAAGGCCAGGGTTGAATCGTATCTCAGAAAGATCTTGTGATAAGTTCATTTCGCGTATTTCCAAATGCGTTGTAGCGGTAAATAAATCTCCAAAATAAATAGTTCTGTACGTTTTCGACATCGGATGCTGACCACATTAGTTTTAATGGAATCACCTAGCTGAAGGCCCTCGGTCATACGTCCCTATCAGATCATGAGTGGGAACGCCGTGCTCAGCATCCCTTGCAATCGCTAGCCAGTCTAGATCAGTCGATCCTCGATATATTGATAGCCTTTCAAATATATCTTCGAACCTCCTCGCTTCTGTCTTTTGATTACACTTGGTGGGTGTTGCCGGTTTTTTCAGTCAAAGAAAAGCCTCACTCGCCACCGTATAACATGACGGAACTGTCATACGCTTACAGGTTATCTTAGATTTCGTAACGACTGTAAACGGTCACATACCCCGTGAAGAAGCACTTCAGGTAGCTGATCCCTCTCTAGACTACAAAGGTTGGATAACCCCGACTGGTGCTGATAACATAACGAGTATGGAAAGTCTTCCAGAAATTGCAGAAAACCCTGCAATTTTCCCAACACGAAACCGACTGACTCGATAAACAGCTCGGGAAACTTCCAAGCCGGTACGCGTTAACGGCAACCCTAGCCGGCAAACATAGCCGTCTCTTGTACGTCAGAGATCTGATAACAAAAGTTCGCTACCTCGTCGATTAACGTTCTTCCTGCAAATTCTAACGTCCAAGTTTACGAAACGGCTTCAAACTTACGGGCGGCAAACGGAAAGCCAATCGCCACATATTGTGAAAGGTACGTTTACCTTAACGTAGGTTTACGCAAACCCATTCGCTGGATCTTTGTCGTTGCCAATCATTGGTATAGTCCTGCTACAACATCACAATTGGCTCATCGATACTCACAAACGGAGGCCAGTAGACGGAAACACTATTTTGTGTGTTAGCTTGACCTCTTTTTCTGGTTGCAGATTATCTCCCATCACATTGCAGGAAGAACGTTAATCGACGAGGTAGCGAACTTTTGTTATCAGATCTCTGACGTACAAGAGACGGCTATGTTTGCCGGCTAGGGTTGCCGTTAACGCGTACCGGCTTGGAAGTTTCCCGAGCTGTTTATCGAGTCAGTCGGTTTCGTGTTGGGAAAATTGCAGGGTTTTCTGCAATTTCTGGAAGACTTTCCATACTCGTTATGTTATCAGCACCAGTCGGGGTTATCCAACCTTTGTAGTCTAGAGAGGGATCAGCTACCTGAAGTGCTTCTTCACGGGGTATGTGACCGTTTACAGTCGTTACGAAATCTAAGATAACCTGTAAGCGTATGACAGTTCCGTCATGTTATACGGTGGCGAGTGAGGCTTTTCTTTGACTGAAAAAACCGGCAACACCCACCAAGTGTAATCAAAAGACAGAAGCGAGGAGGTTCGAAGATATATTTGAAAGGCTATCAATATATCGAGGATCGACTGATCTAGACTGGCTAGCGATTGCAAGGGATGCTGAGCACGGCGTTCCCACTCATGATCTGATAGGGATGTATGACCGAGGGCCTTCAGCTAGGTGATTCCATTAAAACTAATGTGGTCAGCATCCGATGTCGAAAACGTACAGAACTATTTATTTTGGAGATTTATTTACCGCTACAACGCATTTGGAAATACGCGAAATGAACTTATCACAAGATCTTTCTGAGATACGATTCAACCCTGGCCTTTAGAAGCTGATTTAACACAGATGTTATCGCTTTAAAGATTTAAGGGGGGCGATACATCGCCGCACGTGAATCCGTGTAGATCTAAATGAACAGATGCAAAACACTATTAAATACTGACTACAAAAATTTGCATTAAGCAAGATCTTTCCATTGATCTCTTCTACCTAATCCTTCACTTAGTTCGTTCTTCTGCTGCTAGTTTCAACTTTAAATGAACTTCAATGATGTCAGGTGCAGAAATAACAGAATTATTGTAATTATTTTATCCAGTGCACACAACTCAACACTGCCAACACCAACTTGTCAAAGTCATACCGACTAAGTCTCACTCTGTGACTGTATAAACCTTTTCACAAGTCGGAAGACATCTAAAATCCCCTGGGTGAGTCACTCAGTTCATTGTAAAGTCATATGTCTTGTTTAAATTACCTATTTCTCATCTCATTGTGGCGGTACATAGCTTTCATTTTCGTGTCCGAGGCTCTTGGTATTATATCATTCTCGGTCGACACGTTTGTAACACTATCATTCTTATCGTTTTATATATATAAAAGCTCACTACTTGGTTTTTTGTCATTGACGGTTTCCATCATAAGTTCTTGGCCACAGCAGAGATCCATTAGACATACAGTATTATAAATGTCTATTATTAATGTTAGCATGACAAATATACACTCAAAATCAGCTCGAAAATAATTAGCTGCATAATCTTTGTTGTGTCACTACATAGTCATGAAATTCATCCAAGTAAATCTTTTATATAATATTCTCACAATAACGAAAAGTTTTATCGGAATACGCAAAGTGCCTGTGCAATGAGGCTCAACTACTAATTATTCGAAATTTCATATGATACAAAGCAATATGCTAGCAAAAAGGGGTAATAAACTCAACTGTTAAGTACCAGTTATCTCTTTTAGCAGCTAGTTTTAGATGTCATAGAGCGGTCCTTGACTGCCAACCAAATCACTTGACGATGAGCTTTCGTTGGTGATACAGTAGGGAAGTCTTCATCAGATTGGTCATAATTTAATCAACAAGAGCACGTATATCGTACAGCGGTGATAACACTTGAAGAAGTAATATCGTGACAAATTACGTTTCTTATCAGGGAAAATATGTGAACATAAGAAACATTCCAGAGGGTGATGACTTGGTCGCTCGAAAATATAACCAAAATATCTGGACTGTCACTGATTATCCGTGTTGCCAAAAGTTTG